AGAGAGAGAGAGAGAGAGAGAGAGAGAGAGAGAGAGAGAGAGAGAACCCACAAAAATTCTTATCAGTACCATAAATGCAGGATTTTGGATTAACTTGCTCTCTATAGCTGCGAGAAAAGAAAAATGAGATAGAGGGTGAGTGCCTAGGCTAAAAAGTCTTAATCTGGGGCTGGAGAAATGGCTCAGTGGTTAAGACTGCTCTTCCAGAAGTCCTGAATTAAATTCCCAGCAACCACACGGTGGTTTGCAACCATCTATAATGGGATTTGATGCCCTTTTCTGCTTCATTTGAAGATAGTTACAGTGTATTCATATACATAATAAATAAATCTTTAGCCAGGCAGTGGTGGCACACGCCTTTAATCCCAGCACTTGGGAGGCAAAGGCAGGTGCATTTCTGAGTTCAAGGCCAGCCCGGTCTACAAAGTGAGTTCCAGGACATACAGGGCTATACAGAGAAATCCTATCTTGAAAATCATAATTAATTAATTAATTAATTAATTAATCTTTTTTTAAAAAAGTCTTAATCTGATGTTAGGTGTGGTGGCACACTTCTTTAATCCCATGGCTCCAGAAGCAGAGGCAGACAGATCTCTGAGAGCTCTCCACTAGCCCAGTCTTTTTAGCTAGTTCCAGGCCAGCCAATGAGAGGGACTTTTTCTCTAAAAAAACAAAACAAAAATGGCCCACTCTGTTTCAGAAGCTGCCAAACTCAGTGTGATAGCATAGCACTACCTGCTCGCACCTGGGAGGCTGAGGCAGGAGGATTACTTGGCCTCAAGTTTGAGATCAGTTTGGGTAACATAAACCCTGTCTTAAAAATAAAAAGGAAAACAAAAAAGAAAAAGTAATGTCCCACTACTGCTGACCTACCTAAATTTAGCCGTTGGGTAGAAGCCTAGGAACTTTAAGGGGCTTCCTGGAAGCCTCTGGACCATGGATCTTGACAAATGTGATGTGGTTTCCAGCACACCAGAAAGAGCAATCTCACATTAGGGAGAAGAAACAATTATTTCACTGTCTGATGCCTTCAGCTGTAGGCATGTCTTTGCATAAAGACAGTGACATCATGCCTCTGGGGGTGGCGGGGGGGGGGGGCCCCGTTGTTTGGTGGTTAATGCCCAGCCTACCCTTTCTTCATTAATCTTATTTTTCATAGTCCATGCTGTAGACATGATGACTCCATGACTCCATCTCAAAAGAGTTGTTTGGTACTCATAACATGTGTCTGGTTATATGACAAATAATGAGGTTGCAGATAACATTGAGGTTTCAGATTAGCTAACCTGGAGATGGAGAAATTATCTAGGTGGGGTGGATGTAATAACAAGGGGTCTTAAAAGTAGACGCATGCAGAAAACTGTAATACAACGTGAGGTAGGTTATTACCGGCCTGCAAGGCAGAAGACAGCAATTAAGCAGAGACTGGGCAGAGCTACACCTCAGCACTACATTTTAATTTGTGTCAAATTAAGCCTCTCTGATGCTTTTCAGCAGTAGTCACTGATAATGGTTTAAACAGTGTGTTAAGAACACTTACGAGTTTTAAGTGTGCAATACAATTTTGCTATCTGTAGGTACAATAACGAAAGAGAGCCTCTTGAATTTATTTCCCATAACTGAAAGTTTGCACCCACTGATTAAATCTTTGTTGCTTCATGCCACTAAATTTATAGCAATTTGCCATCCAATCTCCTGAGACTTATTTATAGTTCAGTTCAACCATTTGAATGCTTGTTTTCTTTCTCTCTCGGGTGTGCCCTATCTCCTCCCTCCGCTGATTTCAGTTTACTACTTCTGAGTGGAAAGGATTATATATTTTCTTTTCTACTCCCCGTCCCTAGGAGAAATTGGTACGATTTGCTAACAACAACAACAACAAAACAAAACAAAAAGCCTCCTTAGTGTTTGCTTTGTTCTGCTGTCAATTACCTAAGATTTTTGGATGTGACAGACTAGCGATTCTCACATTTGTTTTAGAAAGTATGTAGATGATATGGCCGAGATTATTCACCTATTCACCTATTCACTAATGTTCGTATTATATTCTTCATGTTTCGTACTGGGATTGCGGACAGATAGATGTATTAGCGTTAATCAAGGAACTCTAGGGCTACTAATTTCAAAATGATCTAGAAAACCGTTTTACAGTACAGACTTCCAAGCTATACTCAAGCCTAAAGGGTCAGATTTCCTGATGGCGGTACGCTGGGAACTGTTCTTTAACAAGTTCCGCGTCTGATTCCTTGCATGGGATCAAACAATTTGACCTCTGAATCACTACTCCATGAAAACGAGTCGGCCTGAGTCAGAATCTAAGCTCCTGCCCTCAGCGGGCTAATTCGTGACTCCCTATTCTCGCAGACCTTCATAAAGGCAAGCGAGCGGCCAAAAGAGGACGAACCTGGGAAGGCTGGCTTTCCGGGATCGGGATCCCAGTCCCAGCCGCTCACTGCACACACCGCCAGGGGCGCCGCCACGCACAACCCCCTTGAGCCCCAAGATAGAAATCGAGACCGGAGTGCAAACACCGCAGCGGACCACCGAGGAAACTCTGCTGCTCGGGAGGGTGGAGCCACAGACGCCAGCCACGCCCCCTACCGGTGTTGCAGCCTAATTGGCTCCCTGGCTCTCTCGCGCGGACTACACCACCGCACCGGGAGCCTGATAGTGCTGCACCGCGCCCACCGGAAGTAGTTTACCGGGCGGAAGCTTATCCACAGGAAGTGGTGGAAGCGCTTTCTTTTCCGGTCTCTTTGGCCTCGCCGGTAGAAGCAAGATGGTGAGTGTCGTATCTCGGCTCTGTAAATCTCTTTCCATCCTTCTTCCCTGGGCTATCCTGCCTGTTGCCGGTGCGTGGTGGCAAGGTTCCGAGTGAAGGGAATTGATGGGCAAGGAGATGGCATGCTGTGCCCCGCTGGGACTGGAAGGATGGCTGTTCGGTGGAGAGCCGAGCCTACAGTCCTAGCGCCCCTGTGGGTCTCTCTGGGGTTTGGGGGCGTTGCTGCCCCGGATAGGTCCTTAGGACACGTTTGGGGACATTTGGCCGTAACCGCCGAGAAACTGGGTGCTTGTTGGCAGTACCTGGGACTGAGGCGGGAAGAATTCGGTCATCCTTAACGCTTAAAAGCCGAGGAGGCTTCAGAGCACTTAGGTCCGTGCAAGAGTAGAACATTAGATGGTGTGAATAACCAGCACTGATTTTTACCTTCCTTGTGAGCGAAGAATTTAAGTCTTTACCACATTTTGGCCTATATACATTTTGTTAGGTCGCATCAGTACTCGTTTTCTGAGGAAATGCCAGGGTATATTGAGAAGCCAGATTTTTCAAAGTTGCATTCTGTGTGTTTTTTAACGTGCAGACGAAAGGAACGTCATCCTTCGGAAAGCGTCGCAATAAGACGCACACGCTGTGCCGCCGTTGTGGCTCCAAGGCCTACCACCTTCAGAAGTCGACTTGTGGCAAATGCGGCTACCCTGCCAAGCGCAAGAGAAAGTGTAAGTAGTGGAATCTTCGGGCTGCTTTTTACCTTACCTTGACTTGAGGAAGGGATGTTGTTAGTAATCTGTTGTAATACAAAACACTTTCGGGCCGGGCGGTGGTGGCGCACGCCTTTAATCCCAGTACTTGGGAGGCAGAGGCAGGCAGATTTGTGAGTTCCAGGACAGCCAGGGCTATACAGAGAAACCCTGTCTCGAAAAAAAAAAAAAAGCAACAACACATTCGGTATACAACAAAACTTGGGTGGGTTGGTATGTTGGTTGAGTGCTTAAAACACAGTAATGGCACGACTGAGAAAAATGGCTGACGGCAGATGCTTGGGAAAACCATTCAGAATCGTATTTTTTTTTTCTTAGATAACTGGAGTGCCAAGGCTAAGAGACGAAACACTACCGGGACTGGTCGGATGAGGCACCTAAAGATTGTCTATCGCAGATTCAGGTACAGTTTTGATTCCGTGTCCTTGGGGGTAGGATGAGTGTGTACTTATAACTTCCACTCTTGGTGAATAGTGGGAATGATAGTGCAGTTTGGTTTTGGCCTGAAACACCCACGTTTGTCAGGACTGTCTAAAAGAATGGGATCTGGGAGGCAGCTTACCTGACTCAGCTTCCACTAACTCAGATTTTCTCAAGTCTGCTACGCTGTTCTGGGTGCTAGTCGTCAGTCATAACGACTTAGATGGGGATCTGCTTCTTAAAGATGCAGATTTCCCAGCCCCCTCTTAGACTTCGCTGTGGAGTCTGTATTTTGACAATTGCTATGTGTTTCTTTGTGTTTATGCTCGATCTAGTTTTGTGCGCCTGCTAGTGTTTGATAGGCTAGTGGCGGGTTTTAAGCCTGATTTAACTTTTATGTGCTTAATATCACTCATCTTCCGAAGCAGTTCTAGAGTAGAAATGAGCGTTACTTACCATTTTAGACTTAGTTGAGCAGCTTCAAAGGTTCTGTTAAACTTGGTTCGCTGCCGTTACTAAAGGAAAGATGCCAGGACTGATAGCTTCAGAAATACTTTAGTTCTTGTGGAAATTGGGAAATGAGCCCAAAATTGTTGAGACAGTTAACTGTGATAGAATGTGGGTGTCTTGATCGGGTAAAATAATAGCTTATCAATGATGTCCTAAAAATAAATGTCTGAACATATGAGTGCTATAATGATTTCAGCATTTAACTGAGATAAGCTCATTGAGGTCTGTTTGATCAATTAGGAAGTAACATTTTGGTGTCGCTACATTAATGTTTCTTATCTTTAACATGGCACAGACATGGATTCCGTGAAGGGACGACACCTAAACCCAAGAGGGCAGCTGTTGCAGCATCCAGTTCATCTTGAGGATTTCAATCAGTCATAAAATAAATGTTCTGGTTTCAAAATTTCTGTGGTGTAAGGTATTTTAATGTCAGTTCAGTGTTGGGTTATATATGATTGCTTTGGAATTATACACTTTGAGTAGCATGCTGAGAACTGGTCCTTCGTATATAGGGTTGGTTCCTGAGAGTCTGAAGTTGGTAGGAGCTGGATGAATTCTCTTGAGAATGATAACCTGAGCCTGGGTCCCGGTCATGTTTGCTTAGCCCTGGGCATGGATAAGTGGGTGGGTATGTGACGAACTGACTGAGCATACATGCTAGGGAAGAGGACAGTTACTAGTGTGGTTATATTAATGCCTGCAGTGTCTGAAAATGCTTGCAATCTGTAATGGACTTGGACAGACTTCATGGATGCCTGCAGATTTGAGCTCTTATTCATCCTGAAGTTTACAATTTTTAACATTTACTTGATTAAAGCCAAGCAAGATAAGCCTTTATTCCCAGCACTTGTTGGCAGGTGGAGATCATCAGAGCCACACAGTAAAACTTTTTTTTTTCAATGCTGTTTAATTGTATGTAAGCTGCTAATATAAATGTTGGGTAGACTTTGTCCTGGTATTTGAGACTACTATCCTTCAGAGGGTCCCCTAGTTCAAGGGCATGAAATTGTTTTTGACAATTTATAGTTCATCTTACTAGAACTCGTGGTCTGTAGACTTAAGATTGGTTGTATCTTTTAATGGGTTGAACAGGTAATTTCTAACAAGGGATAAATCAGACATTGAGGCAAGTGGGAATTGAGCTCTGGGTGTCTGGACTTGAACGAATCTAAAGATGGAAAAAGGTTGATACAACTTCACAAGATAACGTGGAGGTTGAGGAAAAGCTTGTGTTGGGGTGAGCAAGGTGACCGCGGGCCTTTAATCCCAGTACTTAAGAGGCAGAGGCAAGCTGCCTCCCAAAATCTTGAGTGAGACCAGACTGGTTTACAGAGTTAGTTGCAAGACAGTCAGACCCTACAGAAAAATTCCTGTCTTAAAAGAAACAAAAAGAGCTGTGCTCATTTTCGTTAAGCTAATACCTGTGTGAGAATTGGGTGTTTAGATGGTGGTTCTAGTATGTAATAGGGTTGAGGGAAAGTGCTGCCACTAAGCTAGGCAATAAGAGCAAGACTGCTAAATTGAGAGTAGGGTGCAGAGCTATTTCACTAAAGGTCTAAGTTTTATAATCCAATACTCTTTTGAGTGTCTGGGTGTATACTTTTAAGTCTGGAATTGTGATGCTTGACAACATTAGGTGTCCTTCATAGCATGTGGGTACATGGAGTATGAGTCCCAGGTTGTACATGCCTGGCACTGAATTTTGAGCAAAGAAGTGGCTAGAACTAACTTGAACCTCTTGGCCCTACCACTGTCTCAAGTGCTGGGGTTTAGGATGTACTTACATATTTTACTTGTATGAGTACCCTGTCGCTCTCTTCATATGCCAGAAGAGGGCATCGGATCCCATTACAGATGATTGTGAGCGATCATGTGGTTTCTGGGAATTGAACTCAGGACTGCTGGGAAAGCAGTCAGTGCTCTTCAACCGATGAGCCATCTCTCCAGCCAGTGACTTTGTTAATTTTCCTTTTTCCAAGACAAGGTCTCACTAGTCGTAGCTGACCTGTAACTCAAAATATTGACCTACCTTTCTGGGACAGGTTATAGGCATGAACCTCCACACATGACGATGCTTACTTAGATGCTTGAGCTGAGGAGCTGGAGAGATGGCTCAAAAGTTAAGGGCACTTGTTGTAGGGACCCAGGTTCAATTCCTACTACACACATGGCATTTCACAACCATGGCTAGTTCTAGGGAATCCAATACCTGACTTCCCTGGGCCAGTCACACGTGGTGTACAAGCCAAGCACTCATATAAACTTTCACACTTTATTACTACTTTGGATAATCCTCAGAAGTGTTTGTGTTTTTCAGTTTGTAAATGAGGGTTGTGACAAGCCTGTGATCTCAGCATTTGGAGTGATAGAGGCAAGAAGAACTAAGGAGTGAAGCCATGTCTCTAAACAACTGTTTTAAGTCTGGAGTAGTATATCAAACTTGTACATGCTAAATGACCAAGGAAGCTTTGCTGGATGTGTTGGCCCTGAAGTGTCTCCAGGCCCCAGGGCTCTTTTTCTATTCCTGTATATGTGTGTGGACACAGGTCAGGACAAGTTGTAAGTAGGTTCCCAGGATGCTCAAAGACTTGGTGACATATTTACTATCTTGCCATCCTCTAATTCTCCCTTTTGCTGCCTCTGTCTTGATCAGAAGTTGATCTGGGCCATCGGTGATGAGGAAAAGCCCACTGACCACCAGCACTCAATGCAGGGTCTAGAGAAAGGTCTCCTTTTCTCAAGTTAGAACGCTTACCTGAGGAACAGGAACTGGCCTGGAGGTGAATAGTTAATAGTGGAAAGCAGTTTGTAATCTGCCTTCTGGGAGTAGGGAAGGCATAGTGAGAGCAGCAGCGCTCAGGGACAAGCAGATCCCCAAGGGAGGAGAGGAAGCAGGAAGCCGCCAATAGTATTCTATTAGAGACGGCTCTTGAGAAAGAGAACTCTTCTGAGACAGAACAGCATGGCACAATGATTTAACCTTAATTTCTGAATACAACCTTATTGGAGATGCAGTGTGACGGTATGGTGCCTTGAAAGAAGAGACTGGGCCCTCACATAGCCTACCAGGACTTTGATCTTGGACTAAAAATGTGAGAAACAGATTGCCATTAGAATACAACAGGGCTCTTTGTCAAATTTAACCTGAGTAAAATTTAGTTGGCTTGACTAAACTGTCTTGAAAGTATCGTAGACAAGCATTGTCTAGTAACAATATAATGTGAGGGCCAGGGAGATGGTGCCGCAAGTAGAAAAGAAGCGACAATCTGCCCAGCAGAGTCCAGTAACTAGCAAGGCAAGTCAGTACAAAGCCAGTCAGTGGCATACATCTGTAACCATGGCATTCCTACAGGGAGACTGAAGGCTGACGTGGAGTTGCCAGGCAGCTCCTGGCCTAGCTGTGCTTGAGTATATAGTGTGGAAGAATCCTTCCCAACAAGGAGGAAGGCAGCAACAGACCGCTCAAACTGCTCTGAGCACAAGTGTAGCATCTATATATCTGCACATATACAGACATGACAAATATTAAGAATGAAATGTAATGAGTTACAAATGCAAATCAAGTATGTAGTTTTAGTATATAGTTTTCAGGTAGACATTTAAAATGTAAAACATCTTAATATGGCCAATGTGTGTCACCATTGAGACTAGGTGACAAAACCATAATCTACTTGACACCATCAGCATATCTCACTTTGACAAGATTTTGGTGCTCATGTGGCTGCTTGCCTTGATTGGGTAATCAAGGAGTGTGGACTTCAACATTAAGTTTAGAGCTTTGAGTTCGGTCATTTGATAACACTTTCTTCAACAAAAAAGAACACTGTATTAAGCATATAAGATTATAAATAAAGTTAAAACAGAGTAACTACTAGCTTGTGGATCAGTTCATGTAAGCCCACGGATCTTTGTACTTCTGTTTTGTAGAGTGGTAGAGAACTTTAGCTGTACCTTATATGCACCTTTTTTGCAGAGTCACTGTGAGAATACGGCATACTGACTGACTGGCTTACTGTGACAGTTTGTATAAAGTAGCCATTATTATATAGTATCATTCTGGAAAAGGAGAATTATGTTGATGATACCAGGAAGAGAATGCTGAAAGATGGCATTTTTGATTGTTTTAGTTTGTCAAGACAGGGACTCTGTATATATAGCCTTGGCTACCCTGGAACTCACTCTATAGAAAGGTATCATTTAACTTGAAGTCACTGGTCAGTCTAGACTCTGTACCATTCATGAATATCCAATCTTTTGACATTGTCACATGACAACATCAATAAAAGTGTTATGCCACTTTCATAACTACTGAGACACATGTGGCCCAGGGGCCAGAGGCTGAACATATTTGCCTAACAGACCATGGCCCTGTGGGCTCACAAGGTTTTTATCAGAACAATAAGGGCAACTTAGCTCTCCAGAGGAGTTTATGTTAATCAAGTCCTCAAATAAATGGACATTCAATGAATGAGATTCTACCATAGATGTATGTTGAATGCTGTGTACATATTGGACACTGATGTGAGATTGCGGATATATTAGTGAACCAAGAGATAGAAGTGGTTATGGGTCATGTGTAAAACAAAATTATAGTCAACAAAACTGATTAAAGCTAAAATTTATAAATTAAAAATAACTGGGGCTGGAGAGATGGCTCAGAGGTTAAGATCACTGTCTGCTCTTCCAGAGATCCTGAGTTCAATTCTCAGCAACCACATGGTGGCTCACAACCATCTCTAATGGGATTCCATGCCCTCTTGGTGTGTCTGACAGCTACAGTGTACTTGTATAAATAAAATCAAAAACAAAGGAAAATAAAAGGGTTTTGTTGTTGTTGTTTTAGAAGAAAGAACTGCTAGATATTGTAGTATATACCATTAGTCCTACAATTGGGAGAGGAGGCAGGAGAACCAGGAAGAATATTAAGGCCAGCCTTAACTACCTAGTAAGTTTGAGGCCAACCTGAGATACATAAAACCCTGATAAAAACAAAAACCCCCTAGGCCGGGCGGTGGTGGCACATGCGTTTAATCCCAGCACTTGGGAGGCAGAGGCAGGCGGATTTCTGAGTTCGAGGCCAGCCTGGTCCACAGAGTGAGTTCCAGGACAGCCCGGGCTATACAGAGAAACCCTGTCTCGAAAAAAAAAAAAAAACCCATAAAACAATAAAAAAGCCCTATATATCTGTATATCATATATAGATATAAAAAACAATATACATGATATATATTATATATTTGATACATTTTATATATTACATTACTATATTAGTAATATGTATTGTAGTTATAATATGCAGTATGCAATATATAAAGTACATCACATTTTATAATATGTAACTTTTGATACACACATATATATATTGGTTTTTTTGTTTGTTTGTTTTTTTGAGACAGGATCTATAAAA